GTTTTAAAGAATACCCGTTCCCCATTCCCATTCCCATTCCCATTCCCATTCCCATTCCCATTCCCCGATTCTCCGTTCCTCGTTGTAAAGATAGCCCACTTCAATACCTTGAATGATCTCATTCGCTGACTTTCAACTCCTGTCTCAGTGTCTATTGATAAAATCAATAATCGTCAACAACCGAGCTTTTACCCTACAGACAGATATAACAATGACAAAATCCATGCCGGTATTTTCCTGTGGGTTTCTGGTTAGCAAGTAGAGGTCTGCTCTATAAACTATTATTTGTCTATACGTTGCGTCACGGCCCCAGTTTCCTTGGACTAAAATATTTACATTTGCCTTCAAATTTCATGAGAAATATTTTCACATTTGCTAGTAATATGTTTACGCGTAATGTTATTTGTAAAAGTATATTCTTTTACATAAATTATTCTTAACTGTTGGAAACACGAATGTAAGCCAACATTTGCAATCGCGTGTTCGTTTATCGTAAACAAACTCCATGCGATTGATTCGAATATTTTCGCTGATGAATAAAAGTCGACAGAATTAATTAATTTCAGCCTCAGGCAATTCAAGAGAAAGTTAAGTTATTTTCTCTTACTAATCTCAGGATAATTGACCTCTCAGTCTCTTAGAATAGCTTGGTTTTAAACGGAATGTATTGACACATGAAGTAGCATGGGTCGAGAAAACATTTTACTGCCGCAAGTGTACGTTTATACGTCCGATTCTAAGTCACCATGAGTCATCAAATTTTGGAATATTTAATTACATGTACTGTACACATGGCTCAGAGATCAGGCTTTGAGTGAATGTATTAGCAATTACCACTGTTATGAGATTCTTTTCCAATTCGTGATCAGTAGTGGTAAATTTGTACGTTAAATAACATTTCGGCATTCAGCTTTGTACTTCCGGCCTTGATGATACACGTGAATGATTTGTGCGTAAAATTGCTTGTTCATCTAACGTTTCTTCTAAAGGTCACTAAAGAAACTCGCCAACGTGCTTCTTTTTAAAGCTCGATGTATTTCTACATAAACTTGAGGGTATATCGCGTGATATTTAGACAGACTTAAGTTACTGTTTGTTTACCAAACACGATAATGTCCGCTTACTACTAGGCACACACGTCCGTGTTTGTCGTTAAAACGTTGCCGTTCAGTTTGATCGTTCAGAATTAAATGAATTAATTGTCTCTTACCTTGCAGGTAAAGTTCAAAAACGCAAATCAAAACGTTGGAGAAGGCTTTCATTGAGTCGCATGGCTGCCGACCAAAATATAAAGCATGAACAGGTTCCACTACGAAAGTACTTTGTATTGTTGAATTCCCTGCATGCAAAGAATTCAACAAGTCATGCAAAGAATTCAACAAGTGTTTTCGCAATTCGGAAACCTTCCACACCCTTTCCGTCACGTGCGCGTTATAATTTTGTGACACACTCCACAGTTCTGTTATACAGGGAATATCAAGCCTGTTTAGGTGCCATAGTTAGCTTATAATCCTTATGATGAACTGGCTCTGCTCATTCAGATCGGAGTACCATTTAAATTGTCTTGCTTTCACTGAGAATCGTTCAACTACAGAATTCATCGTTTTACTTGTCTTGGTTCAATTGAGCCGCAATATTGTAATGAGAGGAGTGACCTCTCAGCTTCGTCATGTACAATAGCTGTCATCACATTCATTCTAGGGTTAAAGCCGAGTCTACTTAGCAGTCTAGTTATATTAATCTGTTTTAGCTAGCTTTCTGTCATTGGGCCACAGAATAGGCCAGGACATTTCTTAAAAATCTCGATCGTAATTTCAAATAGACCTCTCGCTGCGCGCTTGTCCGATTTTGAAATTACTCGCTCGATTACTCCCTGAATTGTACTCCATTCGGTCCAACTACTATTACTTATAGTTTACAATTTGTTCCAGTTAGTTGCCGTCACCCTTTCTTTTTCGTTTTCTTTTTACAAAAAAAATTCTCCTGTGTTAATCTTGTTTTGCCCGTTGTTTACAGAATAACTTGGTCACAAGATGGCAATGTTCTACTCTGGATTTTCAAATAGACATTTAATTTATGTTGTCCAAATCCACATTATGCTCCATGATGGCGGCTAACGTGAGCCGCGACATCAACAAAGTTAAGATGCCTTGCGATCAGTAGTGTATTTTCATTTCATAAGCGTTTTGATTTATTTGTACACTGCGAGCAGAGTGGCTTCGCCTACGCTAAGTTAAGATCGAAGCGACACTGCTCGTAAGGTGATTATACAGATACCGCCTAACCAGGAGCGCCTACTTAGCAGCACCTACTTGTCCAAGTCCACACTATGTTCCATGCTGGCAGACAATGTGACCCGCGACATCAACAAAGTTAAGATGCCTTTCGATCAGTAGTGTGTTTTAATTTCAAAGCGTTTTGATTTACTTGTAGCCTGTCAGCAGAGTGGCTTAATTCGCCTACTGCTCGCAGGGTAATTAATACAGATACCGTCTAACCCGGAGCGCCTAAATAACAAACCTGCTCTAAGGTTGTAGATGATCATGAGAGGAAAAGAAACTGTTATCCAAAACATTCTAGCTCTTAAGGCACTTGCTGTTGATCAATGGCAAGCGAACGTTCTGTGGTCCATGTGTTTCAGTGTCTTTGACGATTACTAAGGCGCAGATATCATTAGTCAGCATATAAGTCTCAAACATACTTCCGGTTTGTGAAATCACCGACAATAAAAGCTTCTACTCGATCCTACGTTTTACGCATATAAGTGCTTGTAATTTCTGGGTCACGTATGATCATTTAAGCAGGAAAATTAACGTAAGTAAAGTTATATAACGTTTCGACGACTTCATGTCATCATTGTGGAATGAATAAATGATTCGACAAAAAAAAAAACATGAAGTTCTCGAAACGTCATATAACTTTACTTACGTTAATTTTCCCGCTTAAATGTTTTTCGAAATCGCTTTTTATAAGACGTTTGATAATAATGAAATAATGAGCTCGAGGCACCAGAACGTTCTTTTGCATTCTTATGAAAAAGCACATTACTGAGCAGTTTATTTTCAAACGATCAATCTCCTAGAAGAGTCAGAAAAATACAGTTGGTAGGCTGAATTTTTAAGCGTTTTTAACAGTACATTTTCTTTTTTAAATCCTTTTTCATTTTCCGAATCCGAACCGATCGGCGCAAATGAATTTTCCACAGACGTATACCCGCTTGGTGCAGCAGATTTCTTCACGGCAAGTGGTTTCACTTGACTTTCTCTCTTTTCAGCTGGGGCACATATTAATCTACAAGACACATGCACTGTTTTTAGTTGCACCTCACTGACAACATTTGGTTAGCACAAGCGCGAGCGGTTTAGCCTCGAGCTCCGAATCGAACGGTGAGACAGCGAGACGAAAAAGTGGCGCCTGTTCACCAGACTCTTTCCCTCCGGATCGTTTCGCTAGCTGCTACGGCGCTAGCGAGTGTAACTTAAAGGTGAACCTGCTCGCAGGGACCTCATACAATGCGTAACTCACCTTGCATTGCATGGCTTCCCTGAAAACATTTTGATTATGCCCTTTGCTGACAAGTCTTTTATTTAACTGCAAGCTAAGATATATCAGCACGCATGTCAACACAGTAGCGGACACCTCATTGCGCCTCCAGGATCTCTTTCATTGCAGTCGGTTTTGTCCCAACCTAGCGGCATGCCCCGTCAACCCTCGCCAGCTAGGCACTTATAGATTGTGCTAGCATAATTTTTGGCTTAATTTGGAGAAACGAGCATATTTTTTGCACTTTTTGTAAAAATAGCACTGCTAGCATAATCAGCAATATTGTGATTTCTTTTTCTGAAGGGAACATTACCAGAGTCGTGACTTGGTTGGACTATGAAATTGATTATTTTCAAGTTCTGGAGTCAGTCTTCAGGGGAGTAAGTCTTTTTTCAATTTTGTAATGTCTTGGGGGACTGGAGAGAGGGTTAGTGTAGTACTGCGTCACTCGTCGTCTAGCCAACGTCTAGCCTGATGACCGGGCACACCGGAAGTGAGACTGTGTCGGTCCCAGTTCCCGCATGTACAGGCAACAAAATGGCGTCGAGCAACTTACACATGCGAGAAGAAGAAGAGGAGGACATGGGGATTTGCGGTGTTCATGTTTTTTTAATGCGGTGATGCGGTGAATATATAAAATCTCAACTTGCGGTGTTGCGATGACCTCAAACCCTACGGTGCACGATGTTTGTGTTTTTCGCACTGCGGTGTTCGGTGAAATGAAATTGTTTGCGGTGCTGGGGTTTCTTGATTTACCTTTCTCAGACCTAAATTTAGCATGTAAACTTCGTTAATCCATGCTAATTTATGACAAACACGTACCATTGACGTTAATAATTTGTTAAAAAAAAAAATACAGACCATCACTTTCTAGTCAATCTTCGGCTGCCAATCCGAAGCTGTTTTCCTTTATACGTAAGCTCAGTGTTCGGTAGACACGTGGAGGAGCAAGGACAGAAACAATCCTGGAAATTCTGGAAATGCCAACAATGCATTATGGATTACGCAGCTTTTTCTACGAAAAAAGAAAAAGGTGGCGAAAACTACCGGCAACAAAATATATTCAGATGTCGCGTCGGCAGGGAAGAAAGAAGGCTTTCTAAGCTAAGGAAGCTTTGTAAATTACACACATTTACTATTTTTTCCTTTTCCAGTTTTGCTATTCGGCTTCGGCTTCGTCTATAGGTCATTCTGATGCCAGTCTATACCCGCTCCAAGGTCCTCCGACTTTCTTGACCTTCTATTTTTTCAAACGATTATCGATATCGAGCGCAAACGCAGTTAGCTCCGGAAAGCAATACTCTCAGTCAAGATAGGGCTTCCGTCAGTGGGTTTATACACCAAGAAAAGTGAGTGAAGTAAAAGAAGAGAGGGATCTGGGGTAAAGGCCATCTCTCGAGGCTCCTCTCTTTTTTTTCGTCCGCTTCCTAGCTCCACGCAAAGTTTCTTCACAAGAGCATGAAGACTGATTTACAGGCATCAGCAGTATCGACATATGCGCGATGAAAAGCGTTGTGATCTGTTTATTTTGTGGAAAATTGTTGAGGTATAAAAGTATTATTTTAAGTGTAGATGAACGAATCATGGCGCTAAAAATACGTGTTGCGCAGTGACGGTGTTTCGTTGNCCCCCCCCCCCCCCCCCCCCATGTCCCCCTCGAAGAACGGCCACCCGATAGGCCAGAACCCGCTCAAAATAAGCTATAACAGAACATATTGAAAATAAACAAGATATATATCATGCGTAATCAATAATAAATATATAATTTGGACTTGTTTTGTGTTTCGTTTTTTGAAAAGCATACTTAAAGATAAAGTAGCATAAATTTCAAAAACGAGCATAATTTGGAAAAAAATCGAGCAATGCTAGTAGCATGTTATGCTACTTTTACTAGTACAATGTATCAGTGCCTATCACCAGCCGCATGTATGTCCATCATGTGATGCCCTTGCTCATTTGCCTCCGCAGGTATAATTTATGTTCAAGACCTCAGAAGTCGGAGAGGAAATAGCTGAAGGGAGCCACACGTGCCAAAGGACAAACTCAGTTTGATATGCGGTGGGAATCGAATCCACGAACCCCGGATAAGATCACCCAACAACAACAACAATAACAACAACAATGTTTTTATTTGAGCTGTTTAGATTTAAATATAAGAAACATAAATTGATCTAGGTTCAATATTTTCAGATAGAGAGCACGGCCACTTAGAAAAAGCAAATACTAGTCTTGCTAATTGACTGCGCCATGGGAAAAAAATGAATCTTCAGATGAATTTTGCGGTTACTCCACAGAATGAGCGATGAGGCCAGACGTAAGCAGGTTCTGGGTAGTTACTGTGGTAATTCATGCCGGCAAGGTTGATATTAGGGTACAACTGGGAATGCAATTTTGAACAAGGTAACATTGATATCAGAAGCTGAAAAGTAGCATGGCATACAAGCACATTGGACAATTTGTATAATCATCATCATCATCATCATCAACAACACTTTATTAACGTGCCAGTCTCAGCTAACCGAGGAGAAACACCCCTACTAGTTGGGGACACTTAAAATTTTACATCATCATCAATGTGTTCATTCAGTGTTCATTGAGTGTTCATTCATTGCACCAGCCTTGGTAACATGAGCTTACGAACTAGCCCAATTACTATGAGATGCTGCCAACAAATATCGGACGAAAAAAGCTAAAAAATCTTATCACAATATTTCTCAAATTGTTAAATTGGTAGGAACTGATCTGTCCTAAAAAACTTAACACCTGTTTTAAGTGTCAAGGTACCAGTGAAACCCTTGATGCCGGAGCCCAGCTTACTGAACAAATATTCAATAACGCTGAAGCCGCTTGGAGGAATATTTGAAGTTAGTGTCACCCAACTAGTGGACTAACGCAAATCCTGCATTTTAATTGGCTACGCTACTAGAGGTGTATTAGTAATAGTCCTCGAGTGGCGAAATTGGCGCAATCGAGCGTGACGCTTTTCCCAAATATATATTTCTTCAACTTGCATTTGCTAACTTTATTATTGTCTTTTCTGTCCGACTAGTTGGGTGATACTAAAACAATTAGACCCTTCGCCCTCAAGGGCCACGGGTCAATAGCCCATGAGGCGAAGCGGGCTACGGGTCTAATTGTGCTTGACTGACAATGACGTCACGCAATTGTTTCTCTTAGTCATGACTGATCGCAGTAAAAAATTTCAAAATTTAAATTAGCCAATGAGTATTAAAAACTCATCTGGTTGTGATCGATTACTAATCTATTACCTATCTTAAGCCCTTTGGAGTTTAGGGAAATAAGGTTACCGGCATTTCAGGCTACAGTCTAACCAGAGGGTTTTCTGCTGCTTTTACCCCTATTAATTGGGCTATGGCTGGTTTGCAGTGTCACGCCAACAAAAATAAAAATCATAACCATTCGATGAATTACGTCAAGAAGCTGGGATATGAAAGATTATTGATATATAAACAACCCCGCCAAGATTTAGGTCTGTGCGGTTTTTCATTCTCCCGTTATTCGGAGAAGTGTTTCACACAAATTTATAGAGCTTTGTATGGAGTCGCCATGTTTGTGCCCCTCGGAGGGACACAAACATGCCGGCCGTAAAGTAACAGAAACATCTGTCATTGAGTTTTGCCACTGAAACGAAAAGTTGTTACTCTAGAGCTCCGACACACTGAAATTAACATTTCCTATAGAGCAACAACTGTTTAGTTAGCAAAAACTTGGGCAATAACTCATCTTTTGACCTACTCGAGAGTCTTATCGGGCTGCCATTTTAATGTCACACAACGCATAAACTTGGAAATTAAAACGTGCCCTATTTCAAAATGAGGAACCCTGTCGAGCTTTTAAAACGCTGCAAAACGTCAAGTTATTAGAGGGCCTTACGTCTGATGAAACTTAAACTTCAGAAGGATTGGTAATTTCTTAGTTTGGAAAATGATGACGTCA